TATTCCACTCTATTATCTATAGAGTCCACTCCATATCCAATCTCACTGATACATAAGCTTCTCCTATATCCAATCAATTATATTTAATTGCTTTGCTATATCCAATCAGAAGCAATTTTAATTTACATAATACACTTTACACTTTATATTGCTTCTAGTGACTCCAGTAACATAATTAACAATATGAGCTTCAATAAATTCTTGGGAAATTTATGTGAGAGATTTTTTTTCCTACGGAGTAAGCTTGCTAAATCCAAGTAAAATTATGCTTCTTTGAAAAGAAACGTTTCCCACGTCTTATATGAAGCTGAAATGTTATTGTTCTTGTAGTTGCTGCTATTGTAGTCAAACTCATTGTACATGCTTACAAGGCTAAATAATCATGCCTCGATGGAATACGGATGCTATATAACGCTCTAACCATCTGATTTGATACTTATCCCTTTGATACAAAGGAGGAAAAATAATACAGTATAACCTGGAGTTTAGATGAAAGCATCATAAAAACGTTGCCTATAAAACTATGGGGCATCCTCCAGCCATGGTTAGAAAAATATCTATAGATAAGTACTAACAGAGCTGATTTAAAGCAAGAAACCATGTTATCTCTGTTGCACACAGCAGCCCAACTAAAGGAATCATCTCTTTTTTGCTGTACTGTTTTTTTCTGATTTTGGGGATTAAATAACTGTACACATCGGAAGGATGAATAAAGCATGAAAAGATGTCCTCATCTATTAAAAAAATAAACATTGGATTCAGAGCTGATGCTATTTTTCTTCTGTTTCAAAAATGGCTAATACCAGAACTAATTTTAAAACACCTATTAAAACATGTTTTAACTTTGAAAATATAACAACTCTATAACTGCAGGAACCCTGGTCTGTGTATGGACTGAAAATCCAGGGTAAAAAGCTCATACTTATTAAAATATGGCTTTAAATCTGATTGTTTTGTTTACTTTTAATGAAATATGTTAATTTGTAAAGTCTCGTGGACCTATCCCTGTTTTCAATTGATATTTAGATTATATTTTAATTATTAATGCCAATCCTAACCATAGTGATATGGAGAGGGACACAAAAAATTGTGAAGTCCCAGAGTGATGGAGCATGGAGAAAGAAAGATGCAGAAAGTTAATTTAGAATGTGTTTCATTCATTTTCTGCTTCATCTTATCTAAAGGCAAAGTTTTCCATCTTGGGCAACTTATGGATTTCCAACACCCAGAATTCCTAACAATTCCTTCGCTAGCTGAGAATTCTGGGGAATTTCCATACCAATAAAGGAGAGTATTTGTAGCTCAGGGTTAACATGAGGAGTCCTTTGTGCTCTCTGAGCTTGCTTGTTTGCTAGTCTAGACTAGTACTAGATAATGTTACCTAGTTTGGGTAATGAAACGTCTGCAAGAAAACAAGCAAGCTCAGAGAGCACCAAAGATCACTCAATCCATACATCCATGCCATTTGGATGTTGTCTAGTTTGAAAACACTCTTATAACCTAAGAACTGAAAACAAGGGGATACTAATTTTATGGCATTGAAACTATATTATAGTAATTTTTTGCTTCTTCTCCATCACAAGAATTTTTTTTTTAAAAAAATCTATACGATGGCACAAGTTTAGACCATCTTTATTTTTATAGTCATAGATATTTACGGAGCAATTACCAGGACAGCAAATGATGAAACATCATTGTGCCATTGAGATATAGAATATATTCTTTGTGCCTACGTCGTGATGTCTCTTACACATATGAAAGGGATGGAACATGTATCAAAATGGCATGATGTTGCTTTCATCATTTTGAGGAAAGGATTGGATTTATTTATTTTATGTATTAAAATTATATGCTGCATGACTCCCATCCTGTGCATGTCTCTGGCTTGTAAATATTCATAAGGAAAAACTGATGCAGCTATATTAAAATGATTGCCATTAAAAAAAAAGTCCTTCAAATTCAGCATATTCCATGGCTAGCATTATCTAAGTGCATGGCTAGCAGGTGGTTGTTAAAACTGAAGAATAATGTGGCCAGAATCCCCTCCAAGATTTTCCCCCTCCTCTAAGCACACAGGAAAAGGAGGGAAATCAGAATGTAATATTTCAGCCACATGATCAAATAGGGTGTATTTTGTTCCAAGGATATTTTTTTTAAAGAAACACTAAGTGAGTCAAGGAATAAATATCAATGCTGATGTTGCAAACAATGCAGACTGTCACGTCCCTCCTATCAATGCTATTCTATTCATCTAATATTGTTTTTCCTGCTACCACTGTTTAATGAGTACAATAGCTGATGAAGTGTGCTCAGCTTGGTTCCTGTATTCATCCAACAGAAGGAGGACAGATAACTCATATACAGAGATGGCTTCAATTCCAAATCAGACTGCCCAATCTAAACTCAACAATAAACCTCTTAAGTGGATTTCATGCTGAACCACCACTCCTACTGTCATCAATTACTACCTACATTTCACATGAACTTCTAAAAATGCATTATATTTACAAGGTATTTATTACTAGGTGGGTTGCATATTCATTGTCCCCATGTATTGGTTCAGATTATTTTTTTTAAAAATTGCACTATTTTGAAATGTTTAAACATTGGAATGATTAAAATGTTTTAAATCTAAATAAAATAAAAAGTTGCTCTAAAGTAGGAGTAGATGACTTAATACACTCCATTTTTTTCTTTATTTCCGTTCTTAATTACACAGCCACTTGGGCAAATGGCAAGAGTTTATGGAATTTGTAGTCCAAAATACTTGGAATATACCAAGTTTCCTATGGCTGATAGCAGATTGTCAATTACAAAAGCATCAGTTATAAACTATTGCATGTCGTGAAACAACTTACAGAAAGGTTTGTACATTCTTTGTGAGAGACTATCTATGCTTACAGATTTTTTCCCATTCCAGAAATATACATATGTAGAATACTCCTCCAAATAAATAAACAAACCGAGTTATCACTGAACTCAAATGGCCATGACCATTATGCAGACAGAATTACACTCTTAATTTAAAAAAAAAAAACACAATCACATTAATATCCGAGTTTATGTGTCAGTTTATCCACCTTAATTCACTGCAATATTCTCAGGTCAATAAATTTATTTCAATAAATCATCTTGCCATGGCTCAAGATTAAGTATATTAGGGGTGTGTGTGTGTGTGTGTGTGTGTGTCTGTGTACACATACATATACATACACAGACACATAATAAATGTGTTTTTAACCAAACCCGATTACAATTACCTAGTTCTTCTTTATGGTTAGGGTTAATAAATATGCTACATTTAGTTAAAACACTGATGCATAAGAGTAACTAATGTATTGTCCAAACTTAAACGTACTGAAGCAAAGTCAGTAGTTTTGCTTTAATCTGCTAATTAGAACCGCTGTTGATTCAAGATATATAAAATTGCTATAAGGTTGCTGAGAATATTTCAAGAGTTTCCCACTGTTGATCATTCTGCTGTGATATAAATTACTAAAATACAATCCATATTTGGGCATGGATATCTATTGTAATTTACTGATATTTATTTTTTCCAGATCCCTTTATTAAATAAATAGCAGTATACAATATTGTCAGAATGCAAGGCTTTCACCATTCCAGTTACTGCACCTTTGCCTGTATTTTGGATTACATCACTTGGCACTAGTGATGTTCATGTACTGTAGCTATATACAAAAGTCAGTGTATTTTTCTACTGTGATTTCTTTCAAGGAACTAACTTGCATAAACAGCCCTTTATTGTTCATATATTGCACATAAGGAACACAGGGACTCTATTTCACCTTCTTTTGAGCAGTACACAGCATCCCTTTAAGCAAGTCTGCTGCATTATAAAACTTAACCATTTCCTTGCCTGCTAACATACATGCAACAAACTTCGCATTAGAGTTAAACTCCCTTTCTTCCTACAAGTACATACTTAATATCAAAATCAAAATATGCTGTTCCATTATTCATATAACTCATTAATGCCATAAACTACACAAGAACATGACAATCCATTGCTCTAAAACCTCTGAACTACAGGAATATTTCCAAGTACCTTAAACCCAACATTAAATATTCATTGCAGCCAGCCATAGCTTCAATTGTTTCCTGATCCTTAAACCCCTTAGTTAACATTATTCCTGCAGGAATTGACAGCACAATCAAATCTACTTTGCAGAACCTTACATAGCCATGTAAGAAATATATCTAGAAAAAAATTATACCTAGAATACAGCATGTCTATACTTCTAAATAAATAAAAAATAAAGGATGCAAATCAAAAATCAGCTATATCTAAATCATCATAACTGCAGGATGCATTCAGTTGGAGAAGTGTTCTACAACATTCCAGAGTTTCCAGGACCTCTCAGCAATTAGATCCCTTCATCAGACCTAGATGTGAAAACTGGTTTGCAGCAGACAGTGGTTTAAAAGAGAGAGAGAGAGAAGAAGAAGAAGCATAGAATATGAAAACAGAAAAATATTTGCATTTCTGAGAGGACTGAACAATGACCTAACTATTTGGGCATCATACTGGATAAAGTATATTTACATCACATGCAATCCTATATATGTTTATTTGGAAGTAAATCCAGGTGGGACATGCTCCCCAATCAACATACATGGGATTGTCATTTAAATGCTGTCCCCAGATACTATGTTTTTCATTCACTTTAGGTATTGGGAGGTAGGTTTAAGTAGGGGCAACCTGGATTGAGAGGTAGTGTAGATATCAAGTTGGTCTTGTGCCGAGTCGAAGTAAAAAGCTAGTCTCATCCTGACTTCACAGTACGTCTATGAGTCCTGGGTGCGAATTCTCCCTCAGCCCAAAACGCCGCAAGTCGCCAAGAAGTTTCCGTTCCGGCTCACAGCTTTCACACCTGTAAAATGGGTCGATTAACCCGCCTGGCGGGCTTATCGAAAGAAGGGTTTTAAAGGAAACGGCGATCAGCCTAGCGTTTCAGGAGAAAGCAAGAAAAGTGGCTTACATGCTCCAATTTGTCTTTCCTTCTCAGCCAGACGCTGGCACTGTAGTCCTGCTGCTTGACGGCGCTGTAGAAGTTGGAGCCCACTCGGGTCAGGCTGGGCGAGGGTTCCCGGGGTCTGCTCTTCAGCCTCATCTGCTCGAAGCCCTCAGGACGGGTCGAGGAGGCGAGCCACTCGCTCCTGCCTTCCATCTTGACATGACAAGGCAAAGTCCACGGCGGACCCAAAGAAGACACCGGCAGGAGGAAAGCCGCGAGGAAAGGCGGCGAGCGTGCGGCTGGGTTTAAGAACAAAGCGCCGACGAGGAGGAGGCGCGCGGGGGTGGGTGGGTGGAACACCCGACGGAGGCAAACGCCAGGCAGGCTCGAGGGAAACGGCGCACCCAAGTGCCCGGTGGGGAAAGTGAGCCGGAGGGAGCCTCAGCTGGGGCAGGAGCCTCTGGCCCCCGTCGAGCTGCAGTTCGCTGCCAGCGCAGCCCTAACCAGCTCTTTGCGGCACTGGCTGCTGACAGAAGCTCGAGCAAAGGAGGGTAAATCCGAGAGCGGCTACACACATTCTCGGGCGGGCAGGGAAGAAAGGAGGGAGGGGCCGAGGCGGAAGGGAGGGAAGGAAGGAGGGAGGGACGCAGGCAGCGGCGGCCACGGAGAGCTGAGGGGCGCGCGCCCCCTCCCATCCCACGGATTCCACCAGCCTGCAGGTTGGTGCAGTGGCGGGGCTGCGTCCTTCGCGCCCGTCCCGCGCCTCCGCTTCTTGCTCCGCGGCTGAGGGGGAAACTTCTGCCGCCGTCGCCATTCGAACCCGCCGAGCATCTCGGCGGAGCAGACATGCCCTTTCGTGGCTCCTGTTCGAGCGGGAGGACACGAGAAGGGGCAGCCGGATATCGTTTCGACGAGGTTGGGGCTCGCCACCAGCCGTCGACGGCTGAAGCGTCAACTGGTCTCCATCAAAAGTTGCCAACGCTTGTATATACGCGGGCACACACACACACACACACAACACACCGCTCGGACCCTGGGCGAAAAGTTAAGCAGTGGACAGCTGGACCGCGGCCCGACGCCGTTGGCGAGCGTAGCCCCGGGAAGATATGCAGGCAGAACGAATAGCGGTTGAATGGAACGGGACTTTGTTAAGTTGTGGGCCTTGCAAACGGCTCACTTGGCAATCGTCTCCCCCATTCTTGAATCTGCAAGAAAACTCAACGGGCAGGAAATATGCCAACCGCCCCCCCCCCGCCCCCTCCTGACTTTACTGCTTCTGTTTCAAGTCACTACCTTCACTGGAATTCTCTGTAAGATCATAAAAGATAAACACGAACCGATGATGCTTACCTTGAGGCTGTCCTTGAACGGTCTCAGCTAAGAGGGGAGTGGGGGAGGAATACTGTAACGTGGTAATAGAGTTAAGGATGATTTAATACTAACTCTGGGCTGGAGATGACAGCAGTGTGGCCTTGCTTTTGCTGAAGTACTTAGGGGGCTCATCAACATCATTGTGTGATCATAGATTTGCCTTGAGATGTCAATAATAGACCCCTTTGCCTTGACAACCTCTACTCTGATGTAAGATACTGCAGAGTTTGGCCTGTCCCTCCTTACTGAGGGCATCATCTCCATCCACCCCAAGAAAAGATGTGATCAAAGTGTTGCTGTCCGGGTGGCTGGAGGGCTGAGTTTGGATGGGGTGAAGCCAATTTAGGCTTCCTAAGATAGACTGGTTATAGATTTAGAAACCAGAATAACAGAGTTGGAAGGAACCTTGGAAGACTTCTAGTCCAACTCCTTGCTCAATCAGGAGATCCTATACTGTTCCAGGCAAGTGGCTGTCCAATCTCTTCTTAAAAATATCGAATGATGGAGTACCACAACTTCTGATGGCAAGCATTTCCATTGATTGTTTTAACTGTCAGGAAATGTGTCCTTATTTCTAGGTTGGTTCTCTCCTTGATTAGTTTCCATCCGTTGCTTCCTGACCTGCCTTCAGGTGCTTGGGAGAATAGATTGATCCCCTCTTCTTTGTGGCAGCCCCTTCAATATTGGAACACTGCTATCATGTCATTCCTGGCCCTTCTTTTTATTAAACTAAATCAAACCAATTGATTCTGGAGGAAGGAAGGAGTTGCAATATCCAGGTTGATCAGGTTCTCCGTCTGCAAGTTTCCTGGACTAGGAGAAATAGGTTGAGACATCTGCATAATTTTCTCTTGTAAGCCAATTGCGGCCACACATGCATTAATTTGACTACTACAATGAATTATACATAGGGCTGCCCTTCAAAATGATTTTAGAGTTGTAGATGGCTGAAAATGAAGGAGCTCGTATAATAATTGCACAACTTAGTTTGCCCATGTGACACCTCTATTTGGGAACTTCCCTAAGTTTTTGGGTGCATAAAATATTTAATGCTTTGCCACTGCAAATTCAAGGAACAGGAAGTATATTTTAGAAGATTTGAGCTAATCTCTTCCTTTAGATCACTATAGAGATTTGTTCCTCAGAAGTAACCATAGATTTGTCAAGAAATCTTGCCAGATTTTTTTATTGAGTAACTTCTTTAGTAGATTGTGAGAATGCTATAAACACACAATATTTTGATTTCAACAAACTGTTTGACAAAGTACCCCATGACATGCTGATTAGTTTAAGTGTAAGCATGACAATTAAATGAGCATAGAGTGTGCTTGGAAGTTGAATTGGGTTTTCAAGGTTTGTCAAAAAAATTCAGATCTCTAACTATCTGACAGCAGAAATTTCAAAGTCTCAATGAGGATAAGTTATTTCTTTGCAGAGAATAAATGTTATATGTACACAAAATATCTATCTATTGCAGAATTCAGGAATCAAACCCAGCACACAGATGATACTTGAGTCCTGAACATTTTCCACCAGTGGATTTTTCCCAGCCTGAATCATAGGTGACATATCTTCATCGTTTTCATATTTGCACAGCAGTTCTGTCTGATTTGGGGCTCCATTACTTCCCATCTTGCCAACTTCAACCCTTATATCACTTCACTATTCTTTCCCCTCCCTTACTCCAAATGTGGGAGACTAGAGGGCATTATGTCCCACCTTCCATTTCCATTTGTTCATCAAATTAAGCTGACATTCTTCTCATCTTCAGATTTTCTAACCCTTCCCAGGAGCCTATACTAATAGAGTGGGTTTTTAAAAATTTCTTCTTTGCTTGAAATTGAAAGATATTTCACTTTGTACCCCACCCTGTACACAGACACATGCAAAACTTTATTAAAGTCTACTCATCAGATAGGAAAGATGCATCAGGTGAGTATCACAGAGCTTAGCCTTGGGTTCTCTTCTCTTCCATATGTCATTAAAGATTTGGAAATATAAGTGGAAATAAAGCTTGCCAGATTTGCTAATGACACATAAACTGGATGTGATAGATAATAATCTAGGAGATAAAAATCAAATGATATTGAGAGGCTGAAGAAATAGATGGAACTAACTATTGGAATGCAATTAAACAGAAAACTACAACATTTTAAATCAAATGCTTGTCCTCGTGCCTTCTCATATCGGTAGTATGGAGAATACTATACTACTTACTTGGTATTAGCACTTGCAAAAATAGTATATTAGGAATACTGTAGCAGCTTATTTGCAAGCTGAATATGGGCCACCAATGTGATGTGAAAAGAAGGAAAATATAATTTCAGGCTTCATCAACAGAAGTATAATTTCCAAATCATGAGCAAATTACAGTACATTTAATCAAGAGCAAAGATGACTAAGTGATGACGGATGGAGGGATGGACAGGTGGACAGACAGAGAGACAGAAATCTTCATATTCATAAAAGAACATTATACAGACAATCAAGACCAATTCTCTCTTGTTCAAGAGTACAGGACACAGAATAATAGGTTCAAGTTATGTGAAATCACATTCCAACTGAATGCTAGAAAAGAAATTCTTAAGAGCAATTTGAGAATGGAATTACTTACACAGAGAGGGAGCAGCCTCAGGTTCATTGGATGTGTTCAAATGAAGGCACCTTTCTCAGATATTTTAATTTGGATTCTTGCATTGCTTGATAGGCTAAATGGCCCCTTCCACCTCTATGATTCCAACAAAGAAACACACACATGTACAATGTGGAGAAGAAGAAAGATGTTTTATACAATTTTGTATTAATATAATTCTGAGATGGTATATGTGGAATCTTTTCCCTATAAATGTGATAGTCTCAGGTTTGATTACTGTGCTGTATTGAGAACAATGTCCTGAGAATTTATCAGAACAACATCACTTGATTAGGGACTTGCAGGATAGGAATTGGTAATCATGACAGCAAATCCTGTATTGTGCTGACAGAAGGAATGGTTGCTCTTTAGCTCAATAATGGGGAAATAGACTAATATGGCTATCTTTTTGGTGATGAACCTTGTTTTGGAATAGAAATATTAAGACAAATTCTTAATCTGGAAATTTCCCATTGGTCTGAAATAGATCTAGGTTTGTGGGGCTTATGTACATGTAAACCTAACATGAGACTTGGTTCCATGTAATCGGTATAACTGATGGAAAAGAAAAAGCAAATTTTCGGAAGAGTGCAGACAGATCATCTTGTAGTGATGGAAGGGGCTGAGATACTACAGTAGAATCTGATGGAAGAATCTTGTTCAGGTGTGTTTTTAAGCAAAGTACTAATTTCTAATAATTACTGCTATTATATTTTTAATGAAAGCTAAAATAGACAGGTGACCCATATACCCCATGGCCAATCTCAACCTTGCCTAATAGGCTTCTTATGGCTGAGTTGCAGGGAGTCTATAACAATACTCTATAACAATTCTCCAGAAACAGAGTACCTGTTGCTTCTATTTCTGCCTTATTTCTCCTGAGATTTGCAACAGCATTTGCTTCAAGCTAGGCTATCATTTCACTTCCCTTCATCTGATTTCTTCATTCATCTGGGAGTTCCCATCATTAGGAACATGATGAAATTTTGTTAGTATTCCCTCTTGACAGGCTGTTTCTATGGTGAACCCCTGAAGCAGCCTATCTGCCCCAAGAGACTCTATTGTTGCCAAGGTGAAGAACAGAATGCCAACAATGACCAGAAGGGTTATGCAGAAATGTGGAACAGTAGCAGAAAGGTTGGCTGAACAGTAGTTCACAAAATGGGTTCATTTGCGAATATATGGCACGTAAATTCTTATAGAAACTGTCCCCATTTTTACACTCAATTTTTCAAAAGAAGTACAACCATACTACACATCAAAAAAGCCTTTGCAACCTGCAGAAAGATGGGCTGAA